TGATTAGATTTTTAATTTAAGAACCAACATAATTTATTAGGTTCATAACGCTTTAAATAATATTTTATACCATCTTGAAATATTAATTTTTAAATTGATAATAAAATAATAATTTTATTGAAATTAATAGATATTACTATTAAATAAATATATATTTTTTTACTTGACAGATATCAATATTTATTTTGAATTATACGATCATATTGTTTCAAACGTCTAAATAAAATTAAATACTTATTTTTGTATCAATATAAGCCTGATATACACGTATAATAATACCTGGTATAATTTACTACATACAATACTAATTAAATATATTTGTTTATTAAAAAATTTATATAATGCACGTATTAAAAAATTGTTATAAAATTAAACGTCCCAGTTTACAATAAACTCAAATGAGCAATTCGTGTGCCAGAAATGAGTCTGGGTAGTTGCGTATGATAAATTTTCTGAGTTCTTCGTAGGCCAGTATGTATAATGCAAATGGTACTGCGCACGCCCATACCATAGCTACCAAGGTAATAAAACACATAGAATTAAAATAATTTTATTTGTATTTATTATCTAAATTACTATAAACATATGAGTTACATATTAATATAACTTTTAAAGACGTTATATTTAAATATGTATATTATTAAATAAAAATTAAAAGTATACTATCTATGATAAATGTAAAATTAAAAATTATTAAAAATATTTATTATATAAGTAGCATAATTACTTACGTTTAGGAGCTCTTAAATGTAATGCATTGGCGATTGGTGGTATGTAACAGAAAAATGCGCATACACATGTTTCAAACAAAATGCTAAAATTTAACACCCAGTTCCTAAATTTACAAAAATAGCTTATTTTAATTTTTGCTCCAAAATTATAAAATTATAATTAAAATGACCCTAATCCCTGTCGAAATATGGAGACCCGACGCGTTTTGGACACAATAACGTCCATCCATTGGCACACCACCACACAAATAAAGTAGGCTGTCTGTGCCTCATACAGTATTTCCATTTTATTCGTCTTATTCTATAATAAAATGATTTTTCCATGATATAGATATTATAATTTAAAATTATATAATTATCATATAATTAAGCAAAGGAGAAATTTGAATAAAATAAACTAAAGGAGTTACTTCAAATAACTAGATATACAGTATATATAAATTTTTAAAATTAAATTTAAAATAATATATCTTATTATAATTTATAATTAGTTAACATGCTACTTTAGTTGATAATACAAATACTGTATAAGTATTACTAATAATTTATTAGTATTACGTTTAGAATTCTTTAACAAATTTATTACTCACGTTTAATAGACAACATAGTGAATAAATTTATTTTGCAACCCTAATTAATAATTATAATACTAACCCACTGCCCATTATAAAAAACATAAACAAATAGATTATCATTTTGCCAGGTCCATTTAGCCAGCAAGGTCCATGGGTCTATTCCGTAGCCCCAGAACACATAGAAATAGCCACAAAATCCGGCGGCAGCCATGATGACCCCTATTTGAAAATACGACCGCAATATCAACGCCCTGGTGACCAGCCTGTCCCGGGTCGGGTGCCGTGGTTTTTGGCTCATGATATCGTTTTCGGCCTTTTCATAGGCCAGGGATATGGCGGGCATGAGGTCAGTGCCCAACGCTATTAATAAGACAGTAATGATTCCAATGGCTTGCGGCAGGCCTAGGATGACCAGGAACATGAACGGGTATAACGTGGTGACACTACCGGCGCATATGTAGCCAATGGTCTTCTTCATGTTGTCGAATATGCGTCGGCCCTCCTCTACGGCCGTCACGATTGACGCGAAGTTGTCGTCCAATAGTATCATATCTGCCGCTTGTTTCGAGACGTCCGACCCTTTTGTCACATTAATGTCATTATTGATTATAATTTAAAAATATATATATAAATACAAATACTGTAATAAGATTATGAGTGAGTTTGAGTACGGAGTTCATCGTAAGAATTATTTTAACTTGTTTGAAAATGACTGATTAAAGTTGCACTCAAATTATTTTTACATTATATTATATGAGCTAATGGTATAAGTTAATACACATATATTATATAGAATGAGAAATAATTTATATTCTTTAAAAATATTTAGAGGCTACTTCAATTTCGACCCGGTCATATAATTTTAATTAGTAATCATTTTATTCAATATCAAATAAGTGTTGTTTGGATAAAAATATTATTTACTGTTCAATAGGACTATGACAAAGTTATTTCTAATAATATTTAAATATATTTTACATTATTTTATAGTATTTAAACTCAAATGATAAATTGGCAATGGTGTTAATATAACATAATAATAAAACATACCGGCAATGCCCATGGCTACTCCGATATTAGCCTTCTTGAGTGCGGGCGAGTCGTTAACCCCGTCCCCCGTGACGGCCACTATTTGGCCCAAACTCTGACAGTTCTCCACAATCCTTAGCTTCTGTTGGGGCGAAGTCCGGGCGAACACGATCTCCCGGAAGTCACTCAATATGCTACACAAGTCTGCGTCCGTCAACTGCGCCAACTCGTCGCCGGGAACTACGATCGACGTGCTGTTGGGTCGGCGGTGTCGGTCAATACCCGGCTTAGATATACGGGTCGACCGTCGATGGGATTCCGTGAAAATTCCGACGTCTTTGGCGATAGCCTGCGCCGTGATGGGGTGATCGCCAGTGACCATGATCACTTTGATGCCCGCCGTACGGCACTTAGCAACTGCGCCAGGTACTGCAGGTCTGTATCGAATAAATAACTTATTTAAGTAAATGGTATTACTTGTTATATGTAATAATCTAGTAACTTTAGTGTGCAATCAAAGTTATAGTTAAAAGGTCGAAAAATAAATTATGATTTTAGACCTAAAATATACTAGTTTATTTTCTAAACACACTGTATTATATCATTTAATATTCAATATTAATTAATATACTGTACAGTAAATAATAATTACTTTTCCCAAGGTTAGCTATTAAAAAATAAAAAGCAAAGTTTGTATTACAAACCTAGGTGGGTCAATAAGGGCCACGAGTCCCAAAAATCGCATGTTATTCAACTCGAACCCCAAACTATTATCATCATCCAAGTCAAATATATGATCAGGCATAAACTGCGTGAACTCGGTATCACAAAACGCCAGCACCCTTTCACCCATAGATCCCAACTCCCTATAGGCCTCCTCGAAATTAATGACATGGGAGGCGCTTATGGGTATAGTCTGTCCGTCCGGGGCCACCACATGTGAACACAATTTGATGATACGTTCCGGCGCTCCCTTCATGGCTAGTATGAAGTGGTTATTCATTTTCGGGTCAGCGTCGGGATTACGGTGTATCGAGTACTGGTATTTATAGGTGGAGCTAAAGGGCTTCTCGGCTACCTTAGCGTACACTTCCCGGTAGTCCCGCACCGGGCGGTCGGACACCGACTCCATGAACCGAAGTATAGCCGTCTCGGAGGCGTCGCCACTGACCTTACGCTTCATGATATCCGGGTCGTCGTCGACGAACTCGCTCCGGGAGCACAAGCGGGCGCACCGGGAGTATAGGTCCCAGCAGTGAGCTACCGGTGCCATTAGTTGTTGGCATTCCTGGCGATTGTGGGCTATGCGTATAATTTGATCGCTGAGGTAACAGTGCTCGACTGTCATACGATTTTGGGTAAGTGTGCCCGTTTTGTCCGAGCATATGACCGAGGTAGAACCCAAGGTCTCGACAGCTTCCAGGTATTTAACAAGGCAATTCTTAGAGGCCATACGTTTGGCGGTTAGGGTTAAAGCAACAGTGAGCGCCGGTAGCAGACCTATTGTTCAAATGGTTAGCATTAAATAGTTTTATTGAAATAATAAACTAACTATATATCAATGAATTTAAAACAAACCAAACCAGACATATATAACTAAACATGATCAGAGAAAAGTATAAAAGTATAAATTTTCCAAATTATACACATACCTTCGGGTATATTGCCCACAATAATTCCAATAGTATACAGTACCGAGGTGGTGCCAGTTAATCCAATAGCCAGACATATAATTAAAAACAAAAACCCGTCGAAACAAGCGAAACACGTTATAATCGTAGTGAACCGGCTGATTTCAATGCCAATGGGTGTTTTCTCCACTTTAATACCGGTGACCAATTTGGCAATTTTGCCCATCACTGTATTGTCGCCGGTAGCCACCACTACCCCATAGCCACTGCCGTCCACGCAGTTAGTGCTATAAAAGGCGAGATTTCTAGCCTCTAAGGGGTTGGTGTGGCCGATATCGGGGGAACGGGCGAGGGGATCGGACTCCCCCGTCAGCGATGAGTTGTCCACTTTCATGCCCTCGCACCTTATGATACGTATGTCAGCCGGGATACGGTCTCCACTTTTGCAGTAGACTAGATCGCCGACCACTAATAGGTTGGCCGGAACTTCCTT